CCTCGTGCCCACAACACCCCCCTCCCAAAACACACACTCCGTCCTTTCTACCTTGGCCTCCTCGTACTCGGCACGCAGTCCCTCCAGGCTGGCCGAGGCCCCCGCCCGTGCCGCCGCCTCCGCCTCAGCCAGCTGCGCCAGCTCAGCGTGCAGCGCAGCGGCGGCCGCCTCCGCGGCGGCGCGTGCCTCGGCCTCCGCACGGAGCTCGCGCCGCGCGTCCTCCGCGGCCGCCCGCGCCTCGGCCATCTCCTCCCGTGCCGACTGCACGATGCGCTGGAGCGTGGCCGCCGCGGCCGCCGCGTCCTCCCGCCCCCGCTTCTGCTCCAGCAGCTCGCGCGAGACATCGCCCAGGTCGGACTGCAGCGCGGCCTCGCGTGCGCCAGCTGCGGCCTCCGCGCCGGCCAGGTCAGTGGCCGCCGCCTCGGCCCGAGCCTCGGCGTCTGCCAGGGCCCTGCACAGGGCCTCGCCCTCTCGCCGCAGCTCCGCGCCCGCGCCCTGCTCGGCCTCCAGCCGGGCCTCCACCTCGCCGTACATGCCGCGCGCGCCCTCCAGCGCGCGCGCCAGCTCTGCACGCGCAGCGCGCACGCCCTCCAGCTCCGAGGCCAGGCCCGCCAGCTCGCCGCGCGCGCCCTCCAGCGCACGCGCCAGCTCGGCGCCCTCCGCGCGCGCGCCCTCGCCCGCGGCCTGCTCCGCCGCCAGACGCTCGCCGGCCTCCGCCAGCTGCGCGCGCAGCGCGTCGGCCTCCTCGGCGCGCGCCGCGGCCTGCGCCCGCGCCTCCTCAAGCCCCGCGCGCAGCGCGGCCGCCTCGTCCTCGGACGCCGCCAGCGCGCGCGCCGTGCTCTCCAGCTCCGCCGCCAGCGCCTGTATGCGGGAGCGCTCATCGCCCAGCTGGGACTGGGCGGCGCGCAGGTCTTCCTCCGTCTCCGCCAGCCGCCTGCCGGCCTCGCGAGCCTCCTCCGCCGCGCGCCGCGCCATGTCCTCCGTCTGCTGGCGCAGCAGGGTCATCGCTTCAGACAGGCTCAGCCGATCCTCGTCCAGCTGGGCAGGGTGTGGGGGTGGAAAGGAGGGAATGAAGGGGGGTGACTGGATGCACGGGAGGCAGGGATTGAGGGAGTGGGGTGAGGGTTCGGGGAGCGCGGGACGTCGGGGGGAGGCGACGAGCTGCGGCCAAACTGCAACAGTTACCGTCGAAAGGGGCGCACCGGCATCTTCACACCCTGTGTAGACCAGTTCCACATCCTCGGTCCCCCACCTTTTCATAGGCCTCCTCCTGCCGCTCGGCGGCCTCATGGGCATCCCGAAGCTGGGACTCCAGCGCGGCGCGCGCCGCCTCCAGGTCCGACAGGTCAGCGTCCCGCTGACTCAGCGCGTCGTCCAGCCCCGATGCCCTCTCCTGCAGCTGGTCTGCCGCCTGAATTGGGCGATGGGATGAGGAGAGTCATTTTGGGGGACTTGTGGTGGTGACTGGCACCCACGACTCCCAAGCCCCGGCAGCCTGATCTCTCTGATGGCCCATGACGCCAGGCAGCAAGGGACCTCCCACACATAGAAAGCACAGCCTCGTTCGCATCACGCCAGCTGTACCTTGCGGGACGCCTCCAGCTCGGCCTTGAGCGTCTCCGACTCCTTGCCGAGCCGTGCCACCAGGCTCTTCTCCCGCTCCAGTGTGGCGTTCCTCTGTCATGATGTTGTGGAGAGGGGCCAGGTATGCGGAGGGCGGCCCGAGGAGCCATTACCTCGTTGGCAGCGGTGTCAGAGGAGGGGTGGACAACCCCCGTGGGAAGCAAGGACAGCAGGAGCCGCGCGAGTGGCACTTCTGCACACACGGAAAAAGCATGCCAATGCTCAGATGCACCCACCCACCTCAGACAGGATCCGCTGGAGCTCCTTGGCCTCGGCATCCGCAGTGAACCTGGCGGCCTTCTCAGCTTCCAGGGCCTCAGACACAGCAGCCGCCTCCCTACCGAGACGAGGGGTGGAGGGAAGGGTAGGCTTGGGGACGGTCGCCGCAGGGCATGGTGGTAGCGTGAGCGCCAGCGGCTAGGATGGTCTCGCGAGGGGGGGCACAGCCAGGCGCGCTGCGTCCCGATGGGGCATGGCCGGCAGGCGTGAACATGACAGCACCGCCCAGCAACCCACCGGGTGGCGGCCTCGTTGCGCCTCTGCTCGGCCTGGATGGCTCTTTCCAGGGCGGCCTTCTCCTTCTCCAGCCGCTCGGAGGATTCCTTCCCAATCTCGATCTGGACGTGGTGGTGATAGACAGACGGAGGTGGTGACTTTGCTGTGCACAGCTTGCCTTTGATGTTGGGCAGACGTGCAGCAAAGGGAATTGGTGCCTCCCAAGGGCTGCTGGACACTTCACGCCCCGCATCTCACCGGCAGGGTCACGGTCTCCCTCCTTTCCCACACAGAGCGCCCCAACCCCACCGGCACCCAGCCGCCAGGCACCGCCCTCACCTGCCGCTGAGCGGCCGAGGCCGCCGTCGCGCTTTCCCGCTTGAGCCGCTGGGCCAGGTCTTGCTCCCGCGACAGCGACTGCTGCGTCTCGTGCACCTTGGTCCGCAGGCCATCCACCGTGCCTTGCGTGGCCTGTATTTGTTTGGGGGTGTCGGGCACCCACAGCGGGCTGAGGAGCGAGGACGACAGGGAGCCATGCATCCTTCGCAGGGGCAGTGCCGAGCCACACAGCCCCCTGAACCCAGGACACGCCGCCAGACGGAGACACGAGCCTGCCAGCACAAACTCCAACACCATGCTCTGCCAGCGCCAGCCCACCTTCAGCTTGGCACGGTAGGATGCTTCGGCCTGGGAGGCAGACTTGCGCTGGAGGACCAGGGCGCCTCCCACAGCCCCTGCCGCAAAGACTCCCAGGACGTTCTGCGGTGAGCGGGTGGGGTCCTGGATCAGGAGGCATGCCTGCGACTCAAGGACGTCAGGCAGATCTCCATCAGATTGAGGGGCGCACACATGGTCTGCCGACGTGCGCTGATGGCTTCACATTCCTGCACCTCCTATCCCGCCTTCCCCACCAGCACTGAGAAGCCGCTGGTGGCTGCCACGGCCAGGGAGGCTGCAGGAGCAGACCCAAGCATGTCCTTCTGGGGCTCCTCCTGCCTCACGATCATGGGCTCCGGCTTTGGCGCAGACACGCTGGGAGCGGGGCGCATCTGCCGTATCACACGGTCGTTGGAGGTCAGATCAGAGAGAGGTAACAGTCTTGAGACTCATCACAGGAGCAGGACCAGTGGATTGCGGGGAAGGAGAGGGCAGGGTCCCATCGCGGGGCACTTCCACACTAATCATGGCTGCCCCGCCCCCAACCCACCGCTTCGGCCCGCAGCTGCTCCTTCAGCGTCTGGATCTCCTCTGAGCGCTGCTCCAGTTCCGATCTGAGGACCTGCGCCTCGATGGCCGTGGACGGCCTCCTCTTCTGGCGCTGGGGGGAGCTCGGTGCCTGGAGGGAGAGGGCGTGAAGCGCACTGATCAGGTTGAGGAAGGTGAGCGCGCAAGGTTGGATCCCATGCCCACACCTCTGAACAACCCCCACCACCCTCCCACCTCCCGGGTGAGGCGGAATTCCGAGCCAGAACGTGCCCGGATGATGCCCTCCAGCTCGCTGGCGGTGTCCCGTGACTGCTGGGTGAGCTCCACCGGGGCCTTGGCGGCCTCAGCGGTAGAGGGCAGGCTCTGCAGGTGGCATGGCCAGGTGGCATGAATTCGATAGTGTGTTCCTTGGTGTCTCTAGGGGCACAGTGACTGCAGACACATCCCCAAATGCACCATCGTACCAGGCACAGGGCTGCCAGGGAAGCCATGAATGACTTGGAGGCCTGTGATGGCCCAGATCCCGACCCTCTGGCGGCCCGGCCACATGCAACCCGCACCACTGATACTGTGTGCCTGCGACGCAGAGGCTTGGCCGGCTGGGGCCGATGTGCCCCCCATCTCGGCCCAATATGGGGTCCTCGAACACCTGATAGCATCGTGTGCATTGCTCTGGCCAGGGACGTTCCCCGGCCTCGGCTATCCATCTTGATCAGCACGAATTTCGTCACCTGGGGGGGTGTGATGGGGAAAAGAAAGGGCGCGGCAGGTCCTCCCTTGGCAGGGTCATGACAGGGCCATCAGCCCCCACACACCCCGATGCCAACCCGCGATCTCACTCTGGGCGCATGCATGCCATGTAGAAGGGAGCGGGAGCCTCGCACGGCACACTCGGCCCCCTCGACGCCTTCCCCACCGGGAAGCCCGAACGACACGAGACCTCTCTGACCCCTCGCGCTCATCGACACTGACATCATGAGCGGCAAGCGAAAGGTAGGAAGCCGCAAATTTGCCTTGCCGTGCGAAATCCATGTGCTTTCGCACCGTACCGCACTGTTGGGGTTCGAGGGCCCCTCACGGCCCAGCAATACCCCCCGATGCCCCGATCGCGAGCCCTCCCTCTCGGTTTCGCCCGGCCAGGTGTCGTATTTCTACGACCCCGACATCGGACAGTTTTACTACGGCCAGGGGCACCCGATGAAGCCCCACCGCGTGGCCATGGCGCACAGCCTGGTGCTCCAGTACGGCCTTCACACCCAGATGGAGGTGGGGCCCGGAGGGGGGTGCCGGCGAGACCGAGGCCTGCCCTCAGGCCTCAAGGGAGCCTGGACCTGGCTTCGGGCATCGGCAGGATACCTTTTGCGCCTTCCTGGCATGTGCAGGAAGATGTTGCAGGGGTGTTGCGTGTTGCTCACCATCGAGCCGTGGGCACATGCATGCTCATATTCGCACGGCACCATGCCCCATGCTCACCCCCGTCCTGCGCTCAGCTGCATAACTTCTCGTTCCCCTCTTCCTGTTCCCCCAGATGTTCCGGCCCCGTCGCGCAGAGGCGGAGGACATGCACCAGTTCCACACCGAGGACTACGTGTCCTTCCTGCGCACCGTCACCCCCGACAACGTGGGCGCGCACCAGGCCGCACTCCGCGAGTACAACATGTACGAGGACTGCCCCGTCTTCTCCGGGCTGTGGGAGTACTGCCGCATCTCCGCCGGCGGGTCCATCGCCGCCGCCGCACAGCTCAACGCCGGCGCCTCCGACATCGCCATCAACTGGGCCGGCGGCCTGCACCACGCCAAGAAGTTCGAGGCCTCCGGCTTCTGCTACGTCAACGACATCGTCCTCGCCATCCTGGAGCTGCTCAAGTACCACTCGAGGTGTGGGCGGGTGGAGTGGAGGGGCAGGGGAAATCGGAGTCGATGCTGGGCTCCGCCCGACCCCACGCCGCGGCGGCATGCGCTCCTGCTCATAGGCGGCGTGCCCCCCAGCATGCATGCCACACCGCCCACCCCTATGTTGAATCCTATGTCCAGGGTGTTGTACGTGGACATCGATGTGCACCACGGCGACGGCGTGGAGGAGGCCTTCCTGACCACGGACCGCGTGATGACCCTGTCCTTCCACAAGTTTGGGGACGGCTTCTTCCCAGGCACCGGCGACGTGGTGAACGTGGGGCATGGTGAGGTGGTGGGGCGGGCAGGAGGGGCGTGGGGATGAGGCCGGAAAGCGAATCCCGGGGGGAAGGAAGCGGGGAGGGGGCGCGTCGGTGAGAGTGTGCCGTCACTGGATCAAGGGGCGTGCCGGGAGCCTGGACATTGGCCGCGGAGAAGAATGCGCGTCGGGTTGCCTGGAGATTCTGTAGCCCTGCACTGGTGAAAGGCATGCACGGGCCTGGCCCTGTGGCGAACACACCACCATCAGGCTTCCTTGCGACCCCATGCTCCCCGCGCCCCCTGCCGCCCATCATCCCCCAGGCCAGGGCAAGTACTACGCGTTGAACGTGCCGCTGCGGGACGGCATCACCGACGAGACCTACCAGGCCCTGTTCCGGCCCATCCTGGCCAAGGTCATGGAGGTGTACCGCCCGGAGGCCGTGGTACTGCAGTGTGGTACGCTGTTTTGGGCTGGGTGCAGGGCTGCAGGGCCTCCAGGGCCGGGAGGGTGGGTGAGCCCGGCAGGCGGACGACTCGACGCAAGGCCATGTGTGGGTGCAGAAGAAGAGAGCTTGCGATGCAGACATGGACGGGTGGCCGCCCCTGCTGCGAGGCCGCGTCACACACTCACCTGCCGACCTCCCAAGCCCACCACAGCCTACACCGCCCCGCCGCAACACCCACGCAGGCTCGGACTCCCTGGCCGGCGATCGGCTGGGCGTGTTCAATCTTTCTTCAGCAGGCCACGCGGCCTGCGTGGAGTATGTGCGTTCCCTGGGGGTCCCCCTGCTCCTCCTCGGCGGCGGCGGCTACAAGATCGTCAATGTCTCGCGCTGCTGGGCCAAGGAGACGGGTGTGGCCCTGGGCCTGGACCTGCCGGAGGCCCTGCCCCCCACCGAGTACTACGAGTGAGTGGGAAGGGGTGGGGTGGAGGAGGGGAAGGGAGGAGAGACAGTGGGTTGGGTGGGGAGGGGGAGGGGAGCAAGCAAACGGTCGAGAATGAATGGACTTGCTGCGCTGTTCAGCAACCTGGGCGGATGGCCGGCGTGTGCCCGCGCTGAGGACCGCGGGCCGCCCCCACACCAATGCGCCCCTGCCTCGACCTCGCTCTCAGGTACTACGCGCCAGCCTACCAACTGACTGTCCCTGCCAAGAGCGAGGGGTTCCCTAACAAAAACACGCCCGAGCATCTGCAGGCGCTGCAGGAACAGGTGTGGTTCGGGGGTGTGAATCAGCATGTGGTCGGGTCGGGAGGGTACCACGGGGTCAGGAGGGTACCACGGGTCAGGGGGGTACCACGGGATGGAGGGTCCTCCGGGTGCATGTGACGAGGGGTGACTCAGATGGAGGGCGGACACCATGCAGGCAGGCCCGATCCTGACCATGGCGACCCCTGCCCGCCCCTGCAGATCATGGAGCACCTCCGGCACATTCCCGCCGCCCCCAGCGTGGCCTTTCATGAGCGTGCGCCGGACACCCTTGGCATGGACGATCTGCAGGCAGGGGGAGGGGGGGGGAAGGGAAGGGGAAGGCTTGCTGCTTCAATGGTACTGACGAGCCTGGGTCCCTTGGGACACCGACATGACACCTGCCGGAAGCTGGGTTCCACCAGAGTATACCCCACCCTCCCAGGCCACCCGAGGGTCTTCCCGGAGCGACGGCGACGGCAACTGGATGATGGATGGAGGGCTGCAGGGGGAGCACAGCTGGAGGGACGAGGCACTGGCGCATGCACGGCCCCAGATGGGCATGCGGCCCGCTCCCCACGCCGCGGATGTCGACGTGGACGCGAGCTGATGGCCCTTGCATCCCGGCCGAATGAGTCGTCGGAGACCCTTCACCCCGGGCACCGACCTTCTGACTGTACTCTGTGACCCACACATAATCTTTCAGCACACATGCATCCCTGTAACACCCTGTGACTGTCTTGGAGGCCCTGCATGGGGCGCTTCAAAGGGGCGCACACCCAGGCCCCTGTGCTGCCCGGTGGTCGGGCCCTGATTCCCACGATGCGTCCACATTGATATTTGAGGTTGTGAAACCATCCAAGTATGTCCCCAGCGACGCAATTCAATGTAAACGATGCCGCTGAGCAGGGAGGGAGTGCACCTTCTCGCACGGACACGATGTCTCGTGAGGAAAGGACCCCGCTGCGAGACTCCCATCGGCAGCAGACCACAATTTCTGACAGCTTGCGGTGTGGCCCAAGCGCACTGGACTTGCGTATTCTGACCCAGAATTGACTCCTGTCCAGCGCTTTGAGGCTAGGGCACGCGCTGCTTCATCGCCTGTAGGAAGGCGGATCATACTCGCCAGGTGGGTCGGGGGGTCACTCTGGCTATACAGAGGTCTTCTTGTCATTTCTACCCCATGTATACCACCACATATCTCTATTATGAAAGAGCTTTGTTTCATCGAGTGCCCAGCTGAGCTCTCCGGCCACTCCCTGGAGCCCAGCCTCAGTCCCGACACACCCCTGAAGGCGACGACAGGCCGTGCATGCCGGAACCTGCCCGCGCAGCGGCCGCAAAGGGCAGCGCAGCCATCGTATCCTGGCAAGGGGAGTGGCGATGCTCCTGCGGCATCCAGAACAAGCTCTGGGACACCTGCTCCTGTGGGCAAGCATCGCCCTGCAGGCGAGCAATGGCATGGCTTGCAGATGCTGGACGGCGTGGTTGGGACAGGAAGCTCTCCCAGGCATTGGGCATCTGTGTTTTGGGGCATGCAAACCTCCGCCTGCCCATGTGCCTGACCTTGTTGTGAGCACGTGCAAGGCTGGATCCCAGGCCCTCCCTCCTGCTATACAACCGGGCCCACTCTCATGCAGCACTGCCCTCCTCCTCACCTCACCACAGGGAGTATGTGCGCGGTAACTGCCTGCTGCCCAAATGTCGCTTCCCCCACCCGCCCTTCAAGATCCCGGAGGGCCTCCCCAAGCCCGCGGACCCCATCGCCAACCCGCCGGCCGCGGCCGCCAAGCAGAAGGCGGCGGCCCAAGCAGCGGCGGCCGCTGCGGCCGCGGAGGGCTCCGGCACGAAGGAGCTGGCGATAGTCACCTGGCTGGGCCACTGGCACTGCTCCTGCGGCCGGGTGCACAAGCTGTGGGATTCGTGCCGGTGCGGGCAGGCGCCGCCCTGCCGGGAGTGGGTGCGGGGTCAGTGCGAGTTCGGGGAGAAGTGCCGCTTCCCGCACCCGCCCTTTGCCATCCCGGCCTCCCTGCCCAAGCCGGACGACCCCATCGCCAACCCAACGCCGGAGCAGCTGGCCTTCAAGCCCGCGCCCGGAGCCGCGAGGGGCGGCGGCTCGCGCGGCGAGGGCCCGCGCAACGGCGTGGCCGCGGGCGCCGCCAATGGCCGCGGCAGGGGCGCGTCGGCGGCGCCCAAGGCGGCGCCTGGCGAGACGCCCAAGGCGGCGCTCGGCGAGGCGCCGTCGGGGGGCCCAGTTCCGGCGGCGAAGCGGACTGCCAGCGTCTCCTACGCCTCCTTGCTGCGACCGGAGGCCGCAGACCCGGAGCCGGCGGCGCTGTCGCCCCTGCCCGACGCCGCACCTGCAGCGACGCTCCCTGGAAACGGGGCGGCCGGTGCAGCCGGCCGCCAGGCGTCAAGCGGCGGCGCCGGCGCAGCAGCGGTATCGAGCGGTGCAGGGCCGGCGGCCGTGCAGCGGCCCGAGGCCGTGGCGGCGGCCTTGTCGGCGGCGGCGGCGGCAGCGGCCTCGTCGGCGGCGGCGGCGGCAGCGGCCTCGTCGGCGGCGGCGGCCTCGTCAGGAGCGGCCTCGTCAGGAGGCGACCCCTCCGCGGCGCCGAGCGGGCAGGGTCCCCCGCCACCTTCGACCCTGGCGGCGGCGCAGGCGGCGCTTGCGTCGCCGCGCTGGGCCCCCGGGTCACTGGCCATGCCGGACCTAGGGCCGCTGCTCGGGCCTCTCCCCGCCCGCGCCGGGCGGGGCGCGGACCTGGGCGCGTCGCCGTTCGGGTCGCGGG